CCTGGGTAGAGTGCCATGGCATCACAGCTCACAGCAACCTCCAACTCCTGGGCTCAAGCAAGTCTCCTGCCTCAGCCTCCCAAGTAGCTGGGACCAAAGGCGCCTGCCACAATGCCAGGCTATTTTTTGGTTGCAGCCATCATTGTTGTTTTGGCAGGTCTGGGCTGGATTCGAACCCGCCACCTTAGGTGTATGTGGCTGGCGCCTTAGCTACTTGAGCCACAGGCACCGAGCCTCCCAAACCTAATTCTTAAGGACAGACCTGGGGAAAAGACTGCTCTGAGGAGGGAAGATTTTACCTTTTGATCCAAAAGTCCAGGTCTCTTCATCATCAAAATGAGTGTCACCAGAAATGGGGTGCTCCCCAGGGAAGAAGGCATGGGCCAGAGTGCCCCCCAGCCCGTCAAAGGGATAGCTATCCTGATGGTAGGCTCGGGCAAAGTCAATGAGGATGTCAGGTTCCTGGTTGTGAGAAGAATCCACCTCGTGGAACTTGAGGTCTGTCTCAACACCCCAGGCAGTCAGGGCATAGCTCATGAGGGCTCGCACAGTCTCATGGCTCAGCTGAGAGCTCTGGGGAAAGGATCGAACCCTGGAGAGAGAGGAGGGATGAGTAAGGTTAACCATGGAGGGAAAAGGCAGCCATTCAAGCTGGGACCCCACAGACAGGCATAGGATTGGGTGGGCTCCGAGACCTACTTCCATGTCAGGGTTCGCTTCTTCCACATACTGCCACTCAGAGCATACCGGCGCCGGCGCCTGACCAGCCCTGCCACCCCTAGCACATCTGGCAGGGAGCAGCGGGGCTTACGCATGGTGGCTATTGTCACTGGATCTGCAGGAAATAGTTGGTGGGAGAGAATGTCAGCAGTAGGACAGCCTGACTTAATCATGGCATCAGCCAACTTTCTAGGTGAGAAAACCGAGGCTTGGAAAAGTTAAGCAATTTGCCCAAGAGGCCCTACCACCTGGATTTGAATTCAGACAGACTGCCTCTGGAAGCCAGCTCACACCAAGCCATTACTACTTTCCTTCTAAGTGGCCTTGCCCTCTCTATTTTTTTTTTTTTTTGAGATGGACTCTCAAGTTATTGCCCTGAGTAGAGTACGATGGGGGGTCACAGCTCACAACAACCTCTACCTCTTGGGCTTAAGCAATTCTTTTGCCTCAGCCTCCCAAGTAGCTGGGATTACAGGCACCCGCCACAATGCCTGGCTATTTTTTGGTTGTAGTTGTTGTTGTTTGATAGGCCTGGGCTGGATTTGAACCTGCCAGCTCCTGTGTATACACCTGGCACCTTAGCCGCTTGAGTTACAGGCACTGAGCTGCCTTGCCCTCTCTACCTTGTCCTGAGTGGACTGGCTGCCTCCAGCTGGTGCTCAGAGGCTCAGGCTGATTTTCTGTCCTGTTTCCCTGGACCCTCTGAGTCCAGAGTGCAGCCCCTGAAGAAAGGAGCCCTGGGAGTGAAGCAAGGACCCCTTCTTTTGAGGCTGGAACCCCTGCAAGTTGCTTGCACCTCACACCGTTGTTTCCAAGTCCTCATCACATCCAGAGTCCAGAGTCTCCAGGCCAGCTGTGTGTTCAGCCCCCTATGGCAAGCCATCCCCTCTCAGGTTAGGTCCACCTGGAATCCCTTTCCCTGGGTCAGCTCCATTCTTAGCAGCATCTTCACCTTTTTTTTTTTTTTTAGGGACAGAGTCTCACTTTTTCCGCCCTCAGTAGAGTGCCGTGGCGTCACAGCTCATAGCAACCTCCAGCTCTTGGGCTTAGGCGATTTTCTTTTTTTTTTTT